GGAGTTGCAGTAATCAAGGCAGGATAAAACCAAGGCGCGGATAAGTTGTTTTGTGGTGTCATTGGTCAGAAAGCGGCGGATTTTGGAAATGTTTTGGAGGTTGAGGTGGCAGCATTTCGCCAGTGATTGGATGTGGGGCCCAAAGGAGAGGCCATAGTCTAGGATTACACCTAGCACCCTGACATGAGGAAAAGGACCAATGGTTGTGCTGTTTATCTTAATGGTAAAGTCATGAGTGGGGGATTGGGGAGGAGGAAATATTACAAGCTCAGTTTTAGAAAGATTGAGTTTAAGGGATTGGTTTGACATCCATGCTGATATGTCACTTAGTAGATTTGTGATAAGTGAGAAGATTGAGGGGGACGAGCTGGGGAGTGGAGAGATAGATCTAGCTGTCATCAGCATAGAGGTGGCATTGGAAGCCATGGGAGGTTATCAATTGGCCCAGGGAGGAGGTGTAGAGAGAGAAAATAAGGGGCCCAAGGGGTAGCCTTGGGGTACCCCAACAGAAAGAGGGACAGGAGCGGAGGAGCGCTGAAAGTGTGCTGAGAAAGGTAAGAGGAGAACCAGGAGAGAGCAAAGTCCCGGAGGCCAATGGAGTGGAGTTTTACTGAGGAGAGCGGGTGGTTGAATGTGTCAAAGGCAGCGGAAAGGTCTAGGAGTATGAGTATAAAGTAATGGCCGTTGGTTTTAGCAGTTAGTAGGTTGTTAGTTTAGTGTTAGTAGGGTAGTTTCAGTGGAATGTTGTGGGCGGAAGCCAGACTGCAGGGGATCAAGAAGGTTGTTGTCGGTGAGGTAGCAGTTCATATGGTTATGAACAAGGCGCTCGAGAAGTTTGGAGGCAAACGGGAGCAGGGAAATTGGTTTTAAGTTATTCAAACAGGTGGGGTCCAGCAAGGGTATTTTAAGTATGGGGGTTACAAGTGCATGTTTGAGAGGAAGGGAAAGGTGCCCGTGGAGAGTGAGAGGTTGAAAATATTTATAGATAATTAAAAAGTATGAGGCGGATAGCTTTTATAGCTCCCTAAAGTGGTTTTAAAGTCAGCAGATTTTTTAACTTAATGCATTACCTGCATTAAGGTAAAAAACCTTTTACTATCTGTTTGCATCCATCTTCACTAAATACTTGAGTCCTGTATATGAAAAATATGGCATTGTAATGGACATTTGATGAAAATGTCCTAAAACATATGCAAAACTTTTAGAAATATTCTGCTGGTCCTTCAAGACCCAGTTCCAGACAGAACTTTTTAATTTGCTTTTGGACAGACACTATACCAAAAATGTAAGCTCCCACCCTTGTGTTATTTTGTTATAATTTGGCCTAAATTGATAAGAAATTGTTTATTAGTTTTGGCTAGGACAGTAGAACATCATTAATACACATGGAATTCTTATATTTGTTTTTTAACCACTTTCTAACCATGCTACAATTGAATGACGGCTACAGAGCGGTTATCCAGTTCTGGGAGGGCGTCATAAGTTGTCCTCCCAGAACGTGCCCCCCCGCGCGCGGCCCCAGCGGCACGCGCCTGGCGATCTCTGTGATTGCTGTGTCCTACGGACAGAGGTCAAAGGCCAATCACAGTGGCCTTTTACCACGTGATCAGCTGTGTCCAATGACACAGCAGATCACGGAGTAAATACAGTTGCTGGTTATCGGCAGCACTTTCCTCACGCTGTCACAGCGTGAGGAAAGTACTGCCGATAACCGGCAGCTGTCACAGAGCAGATCAGCCCTGATGATCAGTGCCATGCAGTGCCGTCCTGCAGTGCCACCCAGCAGTGTTGCCCAAAAGTGCCACCCACCAGCGCCCAGTGCCTCCCACCTGTGCCCATCAGTGCCCAGCAGTGCCACCCATCATTGCCCACCAATGCCACCCATCAGTGCCCCCAAGCAGTGCCACCCATCAGTGCTGCCCAGCAGTTGCGCCCATCAGTGCTACCAGTCAGTTGTCAATCAGCGCTTGCCCATCAGTGCCGCCTATCAGTCGCCATCAGTGCCACCTATCAGTGACCATCATTGCTGCATATCAATTCAGCATCATCAGTGCCTCCTCATCAAAGCCCACCAGTGCCACCTCATCAGTGCCACCGCATCAGTGCAGCTATCAGTGCCCATCAGTGCTGCCTATTCATGCCACCTCTTCAGGCCCATCAGTGCTGCCTATCAGTGTCCATCAGTGCTGCCTATCAGTGCAGTCTCATCAACGCACATCAGTGAAGGAGAAAATTTTTTTTTTCTCCACAGTTTTTGCTGTTTTTTAGTTTATAGTGCAAAAAATAAAACACCCAGTGGCGATTAAATAGACCCAAAAGAAAGCTCTATGTGTGTGAAAAAAATTATAAAAATTTAATATGGGTACAGTGTTGCATGATCGCGCAATTGTCATTCAAAGTGTGACAGTGCTGAAAGCTGAAATTGGCCTGGGCAGGAAGGGGGTAAAAGTTCCTGGTAGGCAAGTGGTTAATGAGCTTGTAATCAGGTGCAGTTAGCTAGTCTGCCAATAGGTGGCTCTGTTCTAAAAAGGTATGCTAAAACAAAAAGTTCCAAGCAAGTGGTAACTTCCTTTTGGAGAAGTCCTTCCTGTAGTGATATTGAGGGTGAGTTAGGACCCATATATCAGCCAGGTGGAGAGAAGCCTTAGGCAAATGGGGCAGGGAGCCAAGTACCCCACACCTATGCAAATGTAGTCAGAACAGCCAAGGCCCCGCTCAGGGCAGAAATCTTGGGAGAGTTGTACAGAGTTCAGTAGGAGCAGCTACAGCAATCCTGGCTCTGGAACGACCAAAGGAAAGTTGTGAGCTAGATGTCTAAAGCTTAATGGGCAAGTCAGAGCCCACTGAGTGAGTACTAATGACTCTGGGATCAGGAGAGTAACTGCAGGAAGCATAACCACCTGGGTAGAGCTATGGAGTAGGACTTGGAAGGAGAGACTGGTATACTATAGAAGCAGCCTTTTAAATCTCAGTTTGAATAAAGTGGAATGCTGCAGACACAGTCTACTGGGAGATGGGTCCCAATACTGGACTGCTCCCAAAAAGAGAGAGACTGTTAGAGGGAAAATGGCTGCTTAAAGTGCATATGCTTTCACGTGTGACTGCTGTGGGCCGTCCACTGAATGTGATTGCCAATATACTGTCAAGTGACTCCAGAATGTACTGTATGTACATGGACTTAATATGCCTCTCAGCAGATAGCTTAGGGTGTCTACGTTCCGAAAAGGGGTCATTTGGGGGTATTTGTACTATCCTGGTATTTTAGCACCTCAAGAAATGTGATGAGCAGTCAGAAAGTAAAAGCTGTGTAAATTCCATTATCTATACCATAGTTTGTAGACGCTATAACTTTCACACAAAGTAATCAATATACACTTACTGGGATTTTTTTTTTAACCAAAAACATGTAGCAGAATACATTTTGGCCTAAATTTATGATGACATTTTAGTTTTTTTGGATATTTGTTATGACAGAAATAAGAAAAAATTTTTTTGTTTACAGCGCCCAAAATAAAAAGCGCACAGGTGATCAAATACCACCAAAATAAAGCTCTATTTGTGTTAAAAAAAGGACGTAAATTTTGTTTGGGTACAGCATTGCATGACCGCGCAATTGTCAGTTGAATTAGTGCAGCGCCGAGTAGCAAAAAGAGGCCTGGTCATTAAGGGGGGTAAATCCTCTAGAGGGCAAGTGGTTAAATAGGTATTTAACTACTTGCCTACTGGGCACTTATACCCCCTTGCTGTCCAGGCCAATTTTCAGCTTTCAGCGCTGTCGCACTTTAAATGACAATTGTGCGGTCATACAACATTGTATCCATATGAAATTTTTATAATTTTTTTTAGACAGATAGAGCTTTCTTTTGGTGGTATTTAATCACCTCTGGGTTTTTTATTTTTTGCTAAACAAACCAAAAACAACTGAAAATTTTGAAAAAATAAAGTTTTTTTTCCTTAGTTTGTTATAAAATTTTGTAACTGAGTAATTTTTCTCCTTCACTGATGTGCACTAATGAGGCTGCAATGATGAGCACTGATAGGCTGCACTGATGGGCACTGATAAGCACTGATGAGGAGGAGGCACTGATAGGCACTGACAAGCATCACTGGTGGACATTGACAGACATCACTGATGGGCACTGAAAGGCAGTATCATATATGGCACTGATATGCGGCACTGGTAGGCAGCACTGACTGGCACTGATATGCAGCACTGATGGGCAGTGATAGTGGCACTGACGGGTACTAATAGGCGGCACTGATGGGCACTCATAGGTGGCACTGATTGGCAGCACTCATAGGTGGCACTGATAGGTGGCACTGAAAGGCAGCTCAGATGGGCACTGATATGTGGCATTTATGTGCACTGGTAGGCACTGATATGTGGCATCGATGTGCACTGATGAGCACTGACAGGTGGCATTGATGGGCACTGACAGGTGGCACTGATGGGGCTACACTGATCACCAATGCCCTGATGATCAGTGTAGATGTCCCCTCTGAGGAATGCCGATTACTGATTTGCCGATCAGAGCGTGTAAGCTCGTGAGGAGAGGAATGCCGATAACCGGCATTTACTTATTTAAATACAATCAGCTGTGATTGGACATCAGCTCTTTCCACTGGTCAGTGATTCGCTGTGTCCCAGGAACACAGCGCACCACCGATTGACGCTCTGCGCGCCCTTGTCATGCGATGTCCTCCCAGAACGAGAGAACCACTGTCCGTCATTTCCTTATATGACAGGCGGGGGGGGGGGGGGGGGGGTTGGGGGGCGGTTAAATAAGTAAGTAGGAGGGAAAAAAAGAGGAAGTTTATATTATGTCTCACTGTGTGTGAATTTGTAGCACTGTGCATGCACTACCAGTCCATAGAGCACAGTAATAATCCCCGTCATCTGCAGCCTGTACATTACTGATAGACAAAACACTTGAGCCTCCTTGGATGGATCCAGTAAAACGTTCAGAGGTTCCTGGGGGTTTTATATTATGATTACTTCCATCACTACCTGTTAAACCTTTAGGAACACTCCCAGGTGACTGATATACCCAGCATGGTTGGTTACTACCAGCTACAGAGCCATCACTACGACCACAGGACAAAATGACATTACCACCAAGAGACGCGGTTATTGTGGGTTCCTGGATGACAGTAAACTGAGCCACAGAATCTGCAATAAAAATGAGAGAATGATGATAGTAAAAAAAAATCCCAGTATATTGACATTCATATTCAGTAATATAAATAAAGTCTAAAATGTGAATTACAGGAAAAATAAGTGAGGAAAGTGAAGACCGTCCAGAACATGATCAGGATGATGAGGAATCACTTTGACAGAACAGAGTTTAGTTGAATCCTTCTCATTCTCACAGTTATATTCTGTATATAAACCACGCCTTTCTATGCAAAGTGTCTCACATTTATTTGCCAACAGCAAATGAATTGTATGCAAAATGCTTATTTTCTCTAGTTATTATTAGGTATTATTTTCTTTAGTTTCATTTAAATACTGTAAGTACATAGTTCTGCCTGAAGTGAAAAGAAATTGCTTTTGTAGTCAAATGACTTTTACTTGCTTGATTTAGGCCCCTTTCACACTGGCAGTCTGTATTTTTTCATCAGTTCAGTCACATTTTTTCCAGTTCACCTCAGTTTCTCATCAGTTTACGGCAGTTTTTCATCAATTCACATCAGTTTTTCATCAGTTTACGGCAGTTTTTAATAGTTCACATCAGTTTTTCATCAGTTTACATCCGTTCTTTGTCCGTTTACATCAGTTTTTCATCCGTTTACATCAGTTTTTGTCCGTTTTTTCATCCGTTCCATTTATTTAAACGGAAGAAAAATAGGATTTTCCTCCGTTACAAAAAATTAATGTTAATGGATGCTGAAGGGAAATGTATGTCTTTTAGGTCTGTCATTTGTTTTTCCCACTCCATTTTATATTCCATGTTGATTAATTGTTTTGTATTATAACCAGAATGAGTTAATGAAAATATGCTATGTCAGTTATGTATTACAGAACTATACTCACAAAATTCTTCTATCTTTTATCTTAGCTTAGCCTTGGTAGAGACGGTGAAAGTATCCAACTATTTCTTTGTATTAACAAGCACCTGTTTCTGTTATGATACAATTAAATGTCAAATATTTCTGTTCCATGAGAAAATAATTGTTTGTTACTTATAACTAATTACAATGCCTGAGAAAGATCATGTTCACAGCCTTGAAAAGTATCTAGCCAGATTCTATTGTATGTAGCAGATAAGTTTTTATGTAATATTATAGACATTCCTTAAATTTTGCTTCTCATCATTATTCAGGATTGACGTAAATGCTTGTATTCCTACTTGCACGCTATATTGTACTATATAAGAGAGCTTTCGTTGTGGAATAAATTAGAAGTTTTTTGGTTACTTACAAGACGGTCTCATGTGTGATTACTTGTAACCAATGCTTCTCCAGGCCTGAGGAGACAGAACGAGTGACAGAGAACTTAGACCAGGGGTCTAAGGGTCAATAGAACCAACAGATGCGGACATTAATGGATGTAAACAGATGATCATCCATTTACATCCATAGAAATACATGGGTGTCCATTTTTCATCTGGAAAGCCCATGTGAAAGGGACCTTACTGTATATGTAATGTCTAGAACAGTGCATCTCAACCTTTTTTCAGTCAAGGCCACCTTTTAAAGCATATTCAGTCTCAAGCAGTGGCGGACTGACCATTTGGAAACTCAGGCACTGCCCAAGGGCCCAAGGTCAGTAGCGGGCCCCATGAGATGCCCCTGGTGCCTTTTTCATAGGCTTTTTTGAGTTTGGGCAAGGACACAGGGGCCCCATGATCCCCTATTGCCCGGGGGCCCCATGAGTTGTCAGTCTGCCCCTGGTCTCAAGGCACACCAATCTAAGGCTAGGTTCCTACTAATGCAGGCGTGGGACACCTCCACACATCTAAAGACACAGCACACTTCCGGGTGTGGGAATAGCTGAGAAATCGCATGGTACAAAAGCACCATGCAATTTCCTGGATAAAGCGGTTTAAAAAAATGGTGCAAGAACCATTTTCCTGCATGACACGCAGACATGGCAGCCCATGCAAATGAATGAGCTGTCATGCCTGAGCAAATGCAGTTTGCAGAGCCACAATAGTGTGAACCTACCCTAAGAGCTCATTTACACATGAGGTTGGGGGGGGGGCAATGTGGTTGAACCCCTCCCCCCCCCAACTACTCTCCATTTACCTGCAGTGGCACCATTCAGGGTTGTACACATGCTGTAGCCACGGTGCTTTGTGGCTATGGCAGGAATTGTACCCCTTGTTGCATTCAGCAGGCATTACTGATGTATGAAGCCTCGCAGCAACCACATGTGCAGTGGTGCTGCATATAGTGGGTTAAAACAGGCAGTGAGGAGGTGACATATCACCTCCACACCACCTGTCAAATGCCTCTGAAAAGTGATCCGAGCATGGATTGCTTTTCAGAGGAGCAGCATTTCGTACTGCTAGTGTGAATGAGCCCTGAAAAAGCAGTCCTGCTAGCTTGGAAAAGCAGTTCTGACCATGCAGAATGTAGGATCAAAAGTAATGTACAGACATGCATACACATGAACTCATATAAACATACAGACACATACTGTGTACACCCCCATATGTATGTTTTTGTCTGTCTGTCTGTCTGTCTATCTATCTACTTTGAGAACATCCAACTTCTTTTGCAATTACCTTTTGAGGCTTTCCCTCCTTATGGAGGGTGTCAATGATGGTTTTCTGCACAATTGTCAGGTCAGCAGTCTTTCCCATGATTGTGATTCCTACTGAACCAGACTGAGAGACCATTTAAAGGCTCAGGAACCCTTTGCAGGTGTTATGGCTTAATTAGCTGATTAGAGTGGGACACTTTGAGCCTAGAATATTGCACCTTTTCACAATATTCTAATTTCCTGAGATTGTGGATTTGGGGTTTTCATGAGCTGTAAACCATAATCATCACAATTATGACAAATCACGGCTTGAACTATCTTGCTTTGCATGTAATGGGTCTATCTCATATATTAGTTTCATCTTTTAAGTTGCATTACTGAAATAAATGAACTCTTGCACGATATTCTAATTTTTCGAGTTTCACCTGTATATATATATATATATATGTGACCTATAAACTGTACAACTCAGGTGAACAACAAACTGAAATCTTTTAGGTGGAGGGAAGTAAAAATAAAAAACTAAAATAATGTGGTTGCATTAGTGTGCACACCCTTAAACTAATACTTTGTTGAAGCACCTGTTGATTCGATTCCAGCACTCAGTCTTTTTGGGTATGAGTCTATCAGCATGACACATCTTGACTTGGCAATATTTGCCCACTCTTCCTTGCAAAAACACTCAAAATCTGTCATATTGTGAAGGGCATCTCCTGTGCACAGCTCTCTTCAGATCCAGATTTACAGAAAAGGGTTACAATGATATTGATCTGGACAGAATTATATCAGAAGTGACTGTGAAAGATAGGAACTCTTTATTAATAAAGAGACCTAGAGCACCTGTGGATTCCAGCTCTTTTGGCCTTTCATTTATTACTTCTTTTTCCAAACAACACTATAACAAATAATTAAAAAACATTGGCCAATATTAAAAAACGACCGATTACTAGGTCCAATCTTGCCAGAAAAACCTGCAGTTATTTTCAGGGGGGTTCCATCATTAAGGAATAGGGTGGCTCCTTATATTTATAATCCCCCTATTCGTCTGACATTTTTCCATGGCTATAAGGGTTTCTATCCCTGTAGGAAGTGCAATATGTGCAAGCTTAACAAACTTAGTGCTAAAAAGATTTCTAATTTTCAGTCAACTCAGTCTTCGAGGACCTATGATATTCACTCTTTTATCACCTGTCACTCAAAAAATTTAGTATATTTTCTAATCTGTCACTGTGGAAGCAATACATAGGGCATACTACAAGGGAATTACATATTCGCCTTAATGAGCACATTACAAACATTAGGAAAGGTTCCCAATGGCAAAATGTCTCACGCCATTATGCACTTTTTCATAATAAGAACCCTGAAGGGACTGCATTTCTTGCTATAGATAAATATAATTCCACACTGGAGAGGAGGTAATGCTAAGAGAGTGATATATCGTCTTGAGGTCAAGTGGATTTATGATCTTAAGACTTATGTACCATACAGCTTGAATTTCCACTGGGATATTAATTGTTTTATTAATAATAATCAATATAATATAAGTTTTCAATTTTGCCTGGATCTCTTATTGAGACGGTCAGCTGGTGTTTTTTTATATTATACTTTTTTTATATATATTATACTTTTTTACATATACCCTTTTGGATTTAATTTTTAATACGAATAATACATTTTTCTTCATTACATTTTTCTGGGAGGTGTAATTATGCGGTTCACCGCTTGGGGGCATATCAGTATTTTTAATTGTTAGTATACTGCTCACCTCTAGAGGGTTGAGACGTCTGAAGTTCTATTTTTATATTTTTTATCATTATAGTCATATTACATGTATTTGGTGCCGGTCTGGAGCTGTATAACCAATAAGATGTTCTATAAAGATTTTTATAGAATGTTTTTTCTTCCCACTGTTGGAACATCATTTGTATATATCTCTTAAGGCCTGATTTGTCCATGATGTTGTTATCGCATCCATTAGTATTTATGGAGCTCGACTAATTGCAGCCGGCTCTCTCTGCAATCCTTCTATAAAAAGTGTGCTGACAGACGTGTGCCCTAGACCCTTGATGATGTCACTTTTGATGAAACGCATTGGATAGAGCTAGGACAGATGTCACAACGCATGCACGCACGCCGCCATTTTGGAAGTGGGCACGTGTGGATTTTTGCCATTCATACAGCGCTGTTTTGTATCCTCTCACATCTCTTTTGTTCTATGTGTATGCCCATTACACTTTCGACATCGATGATCCATGTGGAGTGTGGGAACGATACTTGATTTGTGTTTGGAGGCTGTGGAGGAGGTTGGAGCAATTGCCATTTGATCATATACATGCCTTATTTGACCATTCTATAAAATGATAGTCAAATATATCTGGTAAGCCCCCCTTGAGCACTGAGTGGGGTGACACGTGTTGCACATGAATGTGTTTGATCACTTTTGCATTTGACCAT